ATTGTTTAAAAAAAAAAAAACCTTAGAGTTAATGCCTGGCAAGCTCCCCTTGACATATTCGATATGCCAAACAGTAACAACAAAGTCTCCAATGGAGACGTTACTGGGCCCGCTCGAGCAAATCGATGATCAACGGGAGGGCCTTTACCTTTACCTTTACCTTAGAGTTAATGTCAGGTTTCATATGAAATATTTAGTGAACTTTTCAGCAATATTGGGAAGTTGGAATTATCCCAGCGAAATGGATTGTATATATTTTTTCGAAGTGAGGGCTTCCAGATCCCCAGCTGAGCTCTGGAGCCTGGGGACTGCTTCTTAGAATGGCAGTACAAGATTTGATGGTTAGGTATTTGGACCTAATGATACTAGGGACCACCAGGGCTATCCCCTGTTTATGAGGGGTTGGGAAGATATTTGGTTCTGCTTTTGCCCCTTCTGTGTATTTAAAATACACTTTTTTTTTTTAAGATAGTGGATGACAGGATTTCTGTTGATCAGTGTTCAAGGACTACTTCAGACTTGGGCTTAGGGTAGCTATTCTTAGCTGTGCTTGGGCACTATCCTGCCAGGGAAGGGACCTGGGCTCCTGCTTATAAATGCACTCTAGCCTGTCTCAACAACCAGCATTGAAAATTTTCTCTGAACTGATAAATGTTAGTTGCAAAGAATTAATTTCTTTCTGGTGTTCATTCTTAAACAGGCTCCACAAAATTTGAGACTTGTAAACACCAATTTTTCTCTGTACCTAAAAATCTACTTGTTGGGCCGGAGCGATAGCACAGCGGGTAGGGCGTTTGCCTTGCACTCGGCCGACCCGGGTTCAATCCCCGGCATCCCATATGGTCCCCTAAGCACCACCAGGAGTAATTCCCGAGTGCAAAGCCAGGAATAACCTCTGAGCATTGCTGGGTGTGACCTAAAAAGCAAAAATAAAAAAAATCTACTTATTGGATCTGGAGCAGCCAGATACTGCCAGGAGCAGCCCCAGACCTACTGTGCACTGCTTGGGAGGCCCACTCTGTCCCCAAAATAAGTGTACACTTGTCCAAAGGAGGGAAGAGAGTTCTTAAAGTTATTGGTACTAGATTTCATCCTTGAAGATTCTGATCTAACTGCGAAAGTAGTCTTGGATCTGAATTTGTTTGTTTTTGCCTATGGGCCACACCCTGTGGCTCAGGTGCTCTGTGCTGGGTGTCATTCGTGGATGGTACTTAGGGGACTGTTTTAGGCCAGGGGTCAAACCCAGGTCTGCTACATGCCAAGTGTGCACTCCTTTATATTGTGGTGGCTGGAGGTTCGAAACTTGGTTGTGTTGCGCAGTGCTTGTTTATAGTGTTACCTGCTCATTGGATACTGCACCCTTTGATATGGCACTGGGGGCGAGGGTCCCAAAAACCCTTTTTTTTTTTTGCTTTTTGGGTCACACCCAGTGATGCTCAGGGGTTAGTTACTCCTGGCTTTGCACTCAGGCATCACTCCTGGCAGTGCTGGGGGGGGGGGGAGGGGGACACCATATGGGATGCTTGGAATCAAACCCTGGTCCCTGCTTGCAAGACAAACGCCCTACCCGCTGTGCTATTGTTCAGCCCCCCTCCCCCCCCCCCAAAAAAAAACATTTAATTGTGCTGAGATTGCCCTCTGCATGTAGACTAGAACTGTAGATTGTCACTGTTTCGTTTTTGCAAGACAGAACCTATTTCATTCTTAGAGACCAACCTATTCTATAGCCTGTAAATGATTTTTTGACTCATGTAATTTTATTCATTATATACATTATATCCTTGCTCACAGCCAAACCTGACCTGGGCTCTATTCCTTCCCCCCTCTCCTACTGAGAGTATCTCACCCGGGGCAAAGCCTGGCAAGCTACCGTGATGTATTCCATGTGACAGAAACAGTAACAAGTTTCACAATTTGTTGTGAGACTTTACTGGTGCCCTCTCGAGCAAATCGATGAACAACTGGAGGATCAGTGCTATAGTGCTGCTATATCCTTATGGCGCAGAACATCCCCTAAGTGATTTTTGTTTTAATATGCTTTAGATTTCATACTATTGCTTTAAAGGCAGCTTTTGTCATCTTGGTTACACTTTAATTGGTGTGGTGAGCGGTGGCTCAGTAGGAACAATCCTTCATCTGCCTCCTTGTTACAAGTATGTTGGCTTTCTCTGATCCAGCTAATTGCCCCCCTGCCGTTGCAATTCCAGAAAGCCATTCCATAGTATTTGTAACACGTGCTCAATAAGTAACTACATGAAGCAGATACCTTTCATGATTGTTTTTGTTGTTGTTGTTGTTGTTGTTGTTTTTTAACCCATGGGTTATCTTCTCTAATAACCTTCCCAGATGCCTTCTTTCTAGACTTAAGCCTCTACCTAAATACTGTGGAGCATATTTTTAAACTATTACCATTCTTCATTTTCCAGAGAGCTTGGTATAATTTCTAGAACTGAACTGCTATTGTAATCTTGGAATGCAGCTACTTTCTGTAATATGCTTTAGCACTTTGTCCTTTGTGGGGTGGGGGGGTGTGGGGGTGTTCCACACCTAGTAGTGCTCCTGAGCTATTCCTGGCTGTGCTGGGGGTGACCCCTGGTGGTATTTAAGGGACATTTACATGCAAAACACATGGCTCTTTTATAATGATTGGTTGTCATCTGGTTCTGCTCCACTGCCTTCTGTTTTTGTGAGATTCTTTTCCTTTGTATTTTTTGATTCTCTGTGCCTGAGCTCTAACTTAGGACCTCACACATGCAAGACAAATAGTCATCCACTGAGCTACATCCTGGACCTGTTGTGTTATCTTAAAGTCCCTCCAGGGATTAATCTCTCTTCTTTTATGGTACTTAGCACAGTTTGATAAGTACTATGTTACTGACTTGTTTCTGGTATTCCCACCAGTGGTAGTGATCCATGTTGTTTAACAGTACCTTCCCCATCTCAGGTTCTGGTACTTATCATTTATAGATGAGCAAGTAAAGGCATTTCTGCTGAATGAAATGTTATGTTGCCCCTAAAAGGAATGTGAAGTTCTGATTTGTGGGGAAATGTATATGTTGACGTATCTAAAAGAAGCATTAAAACAGTGTATATTCAATAGACACAAATGTAAAAGTAAGTTTGTATATTTGGTTTGAAGACAGTAATACTAGAAAGCAGACAATTGTTGGTATGTGGAGAAAATTTTTGTTTTGGAGCAATAGTAGAGCCTTGCTTAGTGGACTCCTCAATAGGGATACCCCATGTAGTCCCCTGTGCATCCCCAGATGTGACCCCAAAACAACAACAAAAGAAACTTCTTACAGATGAATCCTGGAGTAACAGTGTTAAAGTTAGACCTCTTGAGTCTAAGAAAGTAGGACTGAATACTTGCCACATTTTATTCTTTTTTATATATAATTTTTAATTTATTGAATCACTGTGAGAACAGCCACAAAGCTTTTCAGTTTAAGTCTTGGTTGGTCATACAATGATCAAACATCCATCCCTTCAACAGTGCACAATTTCCACCACCAAGAACCCCAGGATACCCCCCTCCACCCCTCCCCTTGCTTGTGTGGCAGATTCCCACTTTACTCTCTATGTTATCACATTTAATATTACGACAAAAGACCCACCATTATTTTTTGGAATTTCCCCCAAGAATCAGACCTGCCAAAAAGACATCATTAGATAATTTGTTTTCTGTTGCTGATTATGAAGAGCATATGTGATTTTGGATTTCTGATATTTTAGTATTAAGTCTGGAGGGATTACTGCCAAAAGCTGCTGGGTTCTGAGATTGGCTTGTGTACCTCTAGGATCGTGGCCATTCGGGAGGGAGGAGGCGTTTGTGGGGGGCAACTTGGGGCCTCTTGGGTGGGGTCAGGGCCGGTTCCACCCCCCATCCCATGAGACCCCACGTGCCTCCTCACTGTCTTATACCTGGCTATCCATTAGGTTCTGAAAGATGGTGGAGGGATAAACATAGTTCCCCTCCCCGGGTGGCATGGCGCCATAGTTTAATGCACAGTCCAGATACATTTCTATTGGGCGTTATATTTTGCTCATATTTTCCCACCACCGTTCAAGCCTGTCTTCCAGGGACAGACGCTAGATCATTTGCTTTCCATTGCTCACTTTGCATATCAGGAAAGGTCATGCGAAGAATAGTTCTGGTGCCCACATACCCAGAGCCAGGCTTGTAGAAGCTCATGGTCGCCAGGATTCCATCTGAAGAAGGCGGGGAGACTGCACCCACCCCATCTGGTACCTCCCATTGATAACGGCCTGTATGGGGCCCGGAGAATTCTCCAGGTGTTGTGCCTGCCGGCTAGGTTTCTTCACTCCATTTTATTCTTATAAAACTGCTAATAATTTGACAACTGAGAAGCCACGCTGTTATTTACTCCAAGGAGCTCCTCCCTCTTTAATTTTCCCTAGGTATCTGTAGCAAAAGAACCAATTTAGAGAAGGTAGATATTCACTGAATCTTACCCTCTCTTATTTTAATGGTATTATAACTACCTCCCCTCCCACCCCCTTTTTGGGTCACAACCAGAAATGCTCAGAGGTTGTTTCTGGCTCTGCACTCGTGGGATGCCAGGGATTGAAACCAAGTGGACTCCTGCAAGGCAAATGCTCTACCTGCTGTACTATAGCTCCAGCTTCACAACCTGCAGTTTTCTTTCTTTCCTTTTCTTTTTTATTTTATTTGGGGGGGGGGTGGGCATCACACCAGCGATGCTCAGGGGTTACTCCTGGCTCTGCATTTGAAACTATTCCTGGTGGTGCAGGGGGACCATATGGGATGCTGGGGATTGAACTGAGGTCAGCCATGCGCAAGGCAAACTCTCCCTGCTGTCCTATTGCTCTGTCCCTCCACTACTTGCAATTTTATCTTACAGTGAATTTAATCCTTCACTATATGAAGTGTAAGTAAGTATATCTTTGTTAATGTTGTTTTATGCTAATATTTTAATGTATTGGTTTGTGTTTTTTTGTCCCCCTCTGATCCGTAGGCTAAAGAAATCCTGACAAAAGAATCCAATGTGCAAGAGGTTCGATGTCCAGTCACCGTCTGTGGAGATGTGCACGGGCAATTTCATGATCTCATGGAACTGTTTAGAATTGGTGGCAAATCACCAGATACAAATTACTTGTTTATGGGAGATTATGTTGACAGAGGATATTATTCAGTTGAAACAGTTACTCTACTTGTAGCTCTTAAGGTAATTTTGCTTATGCTTGGGTATTTTGAACTGGTAAAACAGTAGGTGCTCTTACATGTTTCTTCCCTGTGATTTGTTTTAGAATAAAATTCCACATTTTGGAATGCACCATTTGAAGTATAAGTATTAGGATAGTAGGTCACAGATAATCCCTTCCATCTGAGTCAGAGGATGCCACAAAATCAAAACAGAAAAGATTATTCTCAGCTATTGGCTTGTTTAGAATGCAGGGGACCCCCAAGTACGACTTCTAGCACTATATCCCCCACCTTTACAACCTGAGCTCATCTGGTGATGTCCCCCAATCCCTGAAAATAATGTGGAAAATCTTAGAGACTGGTTAAAAAGAAGCTTTAATAAGTTGATATGTGGGGAGAATATAATTCTAGCTATTTTTGAAATACTATAAAGGAATGAAACATGCCGGGATGTTTATACATAGTAATCCTGTAATTGTATTTAAGTAGAAAGTATGAGCTTTTAAGTGAAAACATAAATTTGTATTATTTTCTTTTACATCAGAAAAATAATCTATTCAGCAGTAAGTGAATATCTAAATTATGATTATCTCAGAATAGTTTGCTGCTATTGAACATGACATGATAATTGAGCTGCAGAGATAATTTTAGAAAGCAAGTTGCTTTATACCTGATGTAGCTTTGGAAAATGTACAAAGATATGAAGGTGAAACATAGAATAGCAGATAACTTTTAGAATGGCAGGCATCTTGCCTTTTCCTTAAAAGGAATTGTTTGACTTTAATTTGGAGGATAAATTTTGCAAAAGGATGTCAGAAATTTGATGAGCTGAATTTTAGGGAATTAATATAATGCACTTGTTTAAGAAACAGTCTAACTCGTTAAATACTGAAAACTATTTTTGAGTGGCATCATTCTTAATTATGGATTTGGAATAGGATTTGAATGTTTCTGTGTTAATTCTAAATACTATGAAAGCAAGTTTGCAAGCAAACATGTACCTAAAGTTCAGGGTGAATCCTAGTGCTCAGAGGAGGAATGAATATGCTACCTTTGCATATGTGTTTGAAGGTGTTATGGGCTGGACTGTGTCTGTCCCCTTTGTTTTTGTGTTGAATCCTAACTCCTTATATTTTGACAGTACCTTACTATTTGGAGATAGGACCTTTTAAGAGGCGATTGACATAAAACTAGGTCATGTGGGTGCACCCTGTAATAGTTTGATTTTGATGTCCTAATAAGACATTAGGACAGAGTCAGATACAGGGAAAAGAAGAGACATGGAAAAGATAGTCTCCCACTAGCATAGGCAGGAAGTGTTCAGGAGAAACCAACCCTGCTGATAACCTTGACTTTGGATTGCTAGGTTCTAGAACTGTGAGGAAATAATTTCCCATTATTTAAGCCACGCAATCTGTGATCCTTTGTTGTATATGGCAGCTCTAGCAAAACATGACAGGAGGAAGGAAACTTCAGTAAATAGTGCCAGAGCAATTGTATAACCACATCATCCTTCATACTCTACAGATGTTTTATATTTCATTCATAGGCCTAAATAACTAAGCTGACACTGTAGAAGAAAGTTGGAGAAAGTGTTGCGTTAGGCAAAGATTTCCTAGATAAATACTTACTGCATGATCCATGGCCGGGGGGGGGGGGGGGCAAAATTGAACTTAAAAAAAAAAATAAAAGCCTCAATAAGACAACTGATTTTAGAATGGATAAAATTGGGCCAGGAGGTTACGGCCAGTAGGGTGCTTACTTTGCTCACAGCTGACTTTGATTCGATCCCTGAGTACCACCAGGTGTGCCCCCCAAAATAAAATTTTTAAAAAACCCTGAAAATATTAAAAATGGACAAAATATTTGAATTGGTATTTTATCCAAGAATATATACATAAAAAGATGCTAAGTCATTATCAGGACAATGCAAATTAAAAGTCAGAACCATACCCAGTAGGATGACTTCAATTCATAGGTTAATAATACTGACTTCTTAGTGAGTTTGTAGACGGGGAAGCTCTCACATATCGCTGGCATAAAATATAAAATGGTTCATCACATTGTAAAATAGTTTGCAGTTTCTTAAACATATATCTGATCACCCAGCATTTATAAACTACTAATTACCCAGGAGAAATGAAAGCGTATGCTTTTTAAAAGCCTCCTACATAGCAACAGTAGTCATAATATCTCGAAACTGCGGAGTCCAAATGTTCATCATACTGGATTATTGTACTTTATTCCTATTGGTATAGAGAAGCAAAATGTGATAGAACCTCAGAATGCAATAAATTCTGAAGCAATAAAAAGAAAGAAAGCACTGATCATAGTAAGAGGAATGTCAAAAATACTACAAAAACCCAGGCAAAAAAAAGAGTTTGTTTTTGTTTTTAAACATAAGTTTCTGTTTATATGGAGTTTTCAGGAAAAAGAAACCCTGAATAGAAAAAGTACATCTTTGGTTCTAGGAAAGGAAGTTGACATCAAGTGCAACCTTGAGATCTTTTTGAAATGATGGAAAGATTCTATACATAATGATGATTGTTGCATAACAGTAAATTAACCCAGAATTGATTTAATTACTTACTACAAATATCATGTTTGGTATATAAAGAGGCAGTGATTATGCCTAATATAAAGTTGGTGGTAGCAGAGGCTTGAATTTAGTTGATAGGATTGTTAGAGAATCATAGGCAAATTATGTAGATGTGTAGTTTCACTTTTGTGTTATATGGGGTGTTTTTCTCTACAAAAAAACAAACTGTTTCCCTGTAGAATTAATTATTAAAGAAGTCAGGTGTTCATACTGTTCTTCATTGTTTCAGGTTCGTTACCGTGAACGCATTACTATTCTTCGAGGAAATCATGAGAGCAGACAGATCACACAAGTATATGGTTTCTATGATGAGTGCTTAAGGAAATATGGAAATGCAAATGTTTGGAAATACTTTACAGATCTTTTTGACTATCTTCCTCTCACTGCCTTGGTGGATGGACAGGTATGTATGTCTTAAAACTTACTGCTGGGACTAGAGTCACAGCACAGCGGGTAGGGCGTTTGCCTTGCACGTGTCCAACGCGAGTTTGATTCTCAGCATCCTATATGTTACCCCACACTGCCAGGAGTAGTTCCTGAGTGCAGAGCCAGTAGTAACCCTTGTGCATTGCTGGGTGTGACCCAAAAAGAAGAAAAAAAGAAACTTGCTGCTGGGGCTGTAGTGAAAACACAGCGGGTAGGGCATTTGCCTTGCACGCAGCTGACCCAGGTTCTATTCCCAGCATTCCATATGGTCCCCTGAGCACCGCCAGGGGTAATTCCTGAGTGCAGAGCCAGGAGTAACCCCTGTGCATCGCCGGGTGTGACCCAAAAAGAAAAAAAAAACTTACTGCTAATTTTTTCCAAGAATCAGCATTTTAATATTTAGTTGACTCATTGGGGGGTTACAAGGCTGTGCTTCATGTGCAGTGCTCAGAGGGGTTAAGGCCACTCCCTTGTGATATTTGGCTAACTAGTTTAGTGCTAGGGGCCACCATAGCCATCCTGGCGGTGCTTTGAGGGACTATCCAGTGCTTTGGATCAATTTAGCCTTGAACATGTGAGATATGCTCTCCAGCCTTGAGATCTCCCTAGTTTTGTAGGTTTTGGACTTATTCTTTTTTAAATCTTCACATTTCTTTGACTTTTTGGGTGTGTGTGTGTCTGTGTGGTGCTTGACCTGCTCAGGGGTTACTCCTGGTTCTGTACTCAGATCCCGGGTTAGTCATATATAAGGCTGACATGCCCACTGTACTATCTCTCAGGCCCCCTTCACAATTTTTTTTATTGAAGAGCCCTCTTTGACTCAGGCACTGAACTGCATGTTGGGATTAGAGGAATAAAAGGTGGAGCCTTTCTCTCAGATTGTTTGTGGTCACTTGTGGAAGATGTAAATATTTATTGGTCCAAGTAGAGGTGTACACAAAAGAAATTACAAGAAAATTGTATGAGAAAAGGTAGTAGTCAACAAAGAGGTCAGAGAAATAGTTTCTTGGATTACTGATTGACGTGTACTCAGTGCCTTAGAGTAGGCTAGAAGAATGTCTCCTTAGAGATAAATCTGGTTCTGGCAGAACACAGAAATATGAGTGAGGTTAAATGATAACAGGTGAGAGCCTAGCGACTAGTGAAGAGTGTTTAAAGTTTCTTTCAGGTGAGGTTAACATTATGAACTACTCTTTTCAGATCTTCTGTCTACATGGTGGCCTCTCACCATCTATAGATACACTGGATCACATCAGAGCACTTGATCGCCTACAAGAAGTTCCCCATGAGGTATTGACTTTCTTTTGGTAATAAAATCTTAAGAAAACTTAAGAGGGGAGAAATTTAATTTTAACTTAGTTTTTTATTTGTGTTCTCTTTAATCGCAAAACAACCGCATGGTCTAAGTACTCTCTGTCAATCCTCATTCTTCAGAAGAAGCTAACATTCAGAATTGAGGCTAAAGTGACAACAGCTATAGGACCGATTCATTACCTCTTTAATTACCAGACGATAGTGCTTATAATGTCATTTGCATAGCAGAGATGGGTTTATTCATTATGGCCTGAAGTTATTGGGACTCATTGATGTAGGCGGTGCTCAAAGACATTTGGAAGTTGTTTTCTTAGTTCTTTAGTATAGGTCGGTATTTGGATTTAACTGCAAAACCCTTTTACCATTTTCAATAAATTCCACTAAAAAAGTATTCCTTGTAACTTGCTGTTTCTGATAAATCATGTATTAACCAATTCTGCAAGTGTCAATTTATAACTAATTTGCTTTTCTAGGGTCCCATGTGTGACTTGCTGTGGTCAGATCCAGATGACCGTGGTGGTTGGGGTATATCTCCCCGGGGAGCTGGTTACACCTTTGGGCAAGATATTTCTGAGACATTCAATCATGCCAATGGCCTCACGTTGGTGTCTAGAGCCCACCAGCTGGTGATGGAGGTATGTTCACTTCTTTTTTTTCCCCCCCCTTGCTCTTTAAGGAAACTTGACAAAAGAAGCTTCTGGGCAATTTTTAATGAATTATATTTATGTATTCTTGGTGAGAATAGATGCACTCTGGAATTAAATTTTTTATCAGAATTAAATTCATAGTTAATGTATTTTCAGGAATTATTTTGGGGGGGTCCTCCCCAACCCCCAGCAGTGCTCAGGGCTTACTCCTGACTGACTTCTCTGCTCAGGGATCTTGATGGTGCGGAGGCCACCAAATGTGGTCCTTGGGGGCGGGGGGGGGGGATTTGGGTTGGCCTTCTTTAATTCAGGTAAGTGCTTTAACTTCCCTATATTATCACTCCACCCTTCGGGAATTTTAATGATTGGATAGTGCTTAAGGGGGTGTGTGTGTTTGGGGCGGGGGGGAGTTGTTTTGTTTTTCGAACCAACCCAGCAGTGTTCAGGGATCATTCCAACGGGGGCATAGAAGTGCCAGGCAGGAATCCAACCGGGCTTGGGGTGTTTTGGGTTTTTTTGTGTGTGTGGTTTCAGAAAGCAAACCAGGTGCTTTACAAATGCAGAGCCTATGCTTTACCCCTCATCTTTGCTAAAGATTTAAAGATAGGAAATTAAGATGTAAGGAGTAGTAATATTTTTTTAAGTTTTATTTACATACTTAACATGTTTATGGGGAGAGACTAGAAAGAAACAGTTGTATGCTAGGATTATCGGTGATGTAATAGAAACTAAAGAAAAGGGGCCTTCTGCTTAGCTTTAAACATTGAAAAGTTGAGGACTGGAGATAAAAGTACAGTGCATATGGCTAACCAGGGTTCGATACCCTGTAGCTATATGGTCCCTTGGGTGCTGCTAGATGGTAGAAAAATAGAAACATTGAATAGCATGCTTAGTACAAATACGTCTGATTGCTTACAATAAAATCTGCCTTGGGGCCAGAGCGATAGTACAGTGGGTAGGGTGTTTGCCTTGCACGCAGCCAATCAAGGTTCAATCCCTGGCATCCCATATGGTCCCCCAAGTACTTCTAGGAGTAATTCCTGAGTGCAGAGCCAGGAGTAACCCCTGAGCATCGCTGGGTGTGATCCAAAAAAAAGGAAAAAAATCTGCCTTTGCTAGGGGAAAGGATATAACTCATGGTAGAATGCATGCTTTGATGCATGAGGCATTAGGTTTGCTACTTGGCAAACTGCAACTCACTCTCTCTCTCTCTCTCTCTCTCTCTCTCTCTCTCTCTCTCTCTCAGATCAGATGGGGGAAAGTTTTTTGAACAGTATTTTAAAAGTAACTCATGCATTCAGATGATTTTGAAGAAATGAGACTAGACATCCTAGAGGCATCAAATGGCCAGTGGCAAATTAGGGACTCTATACCTATGACTGAGAGGGGATCTTAATAAGGTTTTGGTCTTTGAAAATGTGTCTGGCTCCACAAGGAATAGACATAAACTCATTCTTGGACTGTCTTAAGGTCAGTTCAGTAGGAGTGATTAGGGGCCAGAGATAGAATAACTGGTAGGGCATTTGTCTTTCAACTTGTACGTGGTCAGCCCTGGTTCAAGCCCTGGCATCCCATACAGTTCTACAAACCCACCGGGAGTGGTTCCTGAGGGCAGAACCAGGGGTTAACCCTGAGCATCACTGGGTATCTCCCCCCCCAATCACCTAAAAGAAAGAATAATCAGTATGAATTAAAGAAAACCAAATATATAAGAAGCAGTTTATCTTTTGTGTTAGACTTTCAGTTAATAACCTAGGTGAGCGTAGGTTTTTTATTTTTTTGCTTTTTGAGTCTCATCCAGCAATGCTCAGGAGTTAGTTACTCCTGGCTCTGCACTCAGGAATTACTCCTGGTGGTGCTCGCGGGACCATATGGGATGCTGTGGATCAAACCTGGATGCATGCAAAACAAACGCCATACCCACTGTTCTAGCCCACTCACTCAGTTTTTTTGTTTGTTTATATTTGTTCTGCGTTTTGGCCACACCTGGCAGTGCTCAAGGGTTGACTGGACTCTGTTCAGGGATCATACCTGGTGGGGTCATGGGGACCGTATAGAATGCCAGGATTGAACTCTTGTTGACTGTGTACAAGGCAGGAGTCCTATCCACTGTACTACCACTCTGACCCAAGATAGGTTTTTTTTTTTTCTTTTTTTTTTCTTTTTTTATTAGTGAAAAACCATTAGGCACAGTTATAGGCCCACAAATTCTGCGCTTGGGTTACAGTTATACAATGATCAAGTGCCCATCCCTCCACCATTGCCCGTCATCCATCCCCACGGGTCCCAGCACCCCCCCCACCCCCCCGTCCCATCCTGCCTCTGTGGCAGGGTATTCCCCCTTGTTCTCTCTCTCTTCTTTTGGGTACTGTGTTTTGCAAGAGAGGCATTGAGTGGCAATCATGTTTGGTCTATAGACTACTTTCAGCGTGATTCTCCCACCCTGGGAGGGTCCTCACAACACCCTTTATTTGGTGCTCTCTTCTCTATCTGAGCTTCCTTTTTTTTGTTGTTGTTTTTTTGGTAACTTTTTTGTAGTTGTTTTATTTATTTATTTTTCCAAGATAGTTTTTAAGTAGTACAGAGAATTATTAAATCATCAGCAATAGAGTATTAACCTTTATTGTCTCTTGGGGGCAGAGTGAGATAGATCTTCTCTTGACCATGAATAAACCCTTGTATGTATTAAGCAGTAAAATGGGCTTTTGTATTCTATTGTGGCTGCTCCTGGCTTTGTGTTTAGGTGGACCATGTGGTTCTGGGATGGAACCCAGGCTTTCTGCAAATGTTCACCTCCAGCCTGTTGAACTATCTCTCTGGTTTGGTTGGTTTTGTCTTGGGGCCATGTGGCATTGCTTGGGGAACATCTCTTGGGATTGGACCCTGCATGCAAGACAAGCATCATACCTGCTGTACTCTCTTTGTTCCTAAAATAATCTTTGTTTCCGTTTTAAACTCCTTCCTTGTAGGGATATAACTGGTGCCATGACCGGAACGTAGTAACAATTTTCAGTGCTCCAAACTATTGTTATCGTTGTGGTAACCAAGCTGCAATCATGGAACTTGATGATACTCTAAAATACTCTTTGTAAGTACTTTTACCTGTGTAGTTTGATTGCCATTTTCTGAATATATAGTTTTTACCTGGTGACTACGTTTGGGCTAATATTGAATGGGAAAAGGCTATATATAATTTTTGAAAATAATGTTCTTGACTGTTAGTACATTGATAATTTGAAATAAAATTCTTATTTTGCAGCTTGCAGTTTGATCCAGCTCCTCGCAGAGGCGAGCCACATGTTACTCGTCGTACCCCAGACTACTTCCTGTAATGAAATTTTAAACTTGTACAGTATTGCCATGAACCGTATATTGACCTAATGGAAATGGGAAGAGCAACAGTAACTCCAAAGTGTCAGAGAATAGTTAACATTCAAAAAACTTGTTTTCACACGGACCAAAAGATGTGCCATATAAAAATACAAAGCCTCTTGTCATCAACAGCCGTGACCACTTTAGAATGAACCAGTTCATTGCATGCTGAAGCGACATTGTTGGTCAAGAAACCAGTTTCTGGCATAGCGCTATTTGTAGTTACTTTTGCTTTCTCTGAGAGACTGCAGATAATAAGATGTAAACATTAACACCTCGTGAATACAATTTAACTTCCATTTAGCTATAGCTTTACTCAGCATGACTGTAGATAAGGATAGCAGCAAACAATCATTGGAGCTTAATGAACGTTTTTAAAAATAAGTACCAAGGCCTACCCTCTACTTGTGAGTTTTGAAATCGTTTTGTTTATTTTCAGGGATACCGTTTAATTTAATTGTATGATTTGTCTGCACTCGGTTTATTTCCCTTCTTAAATCTCAGCCTCATGTTGTTCTTTGTTATTGTCAGGACCTGGTGAGTTGAACAGAACTGTTTCCCTCCCCCTGCCCCCCACCCATAAGACGATGTTACTGCACAAGAGCACTGCAGTGTTTTTCATAATAAACTTGTGAACTAAGAACTGAGAAAGTCAAATTTCAATTGTATAAATGGGCAAGATGGTGCTGTTTATTTAAAAGATACATAAATTTTAGAACTTTTAGAATTCTAGGTAAAGAACAATAAAAATCAAGCCCACTACATAATCTCTCTGGTTACTTCTTGACATTACTTTGATGAATTTCAGGATTTAGTTTTTGTCTAGATGGTATAGTTTGTTAGATTGCCCTGTGTGCTTTTCAGGGGTTCTTCCTGCATATTAACATGTGTGCAAAAAGGAATTGTGTGTTACTTCAATAGGATCTGACTGTAAAATCACATAATTGAGATTTATGGTTTGGGGGTTTTGTTTTAATAAAGTAGCATGTTTTCTGGTAGAGCTTAATTGAATGTCTGCTTAGCAATCAGTGCGGTTTCTGGTTATAAATATGACATTGCTGTGTATGTTACATGGACTTTTTAAAGTGATTGACAGGTTGGCAAGTTCTTAGCACTTATTTGTACATTATTTGTCATGTGATCTTAGAGTTACATTTGTCTCAGATAAGATAATCTGTTAAGCATTATTGTGTATCAAGCTCCTTTTAAGTGATACCAGTTGAACCAAATAGAAAATTCTTGCTGGATCGTGGTTTAGTGTTATGTGATTTCATCAGAATCATAATGACATTTAGAATGAAGTGGCAGTTCTAAGCATGGAATGACTCTCCTCTCTCCCCTCCCACTATCACCCACCCATTTTTTTTTATCCTCTTGAGTTAGATTAGGAAGTTAAAATAGTCTTCTGGAAACTGATCCTTGATCATCTGAAGCTACCAGGGCAAACCTTAGGACACCTGTATAATTGTAGTAATAAAGTTTCTTTGCCTTATACTGCATTGAATTTGGAATGGGCAGTAAGTATTTGGATTTCTTTTTCCAATAAGATGCTTGAAGATATAAATGTTATTGTCTATAATACGTTTCTCTTTCTCACTCAAGCTGGGCTTCTTTGTTGTTAACTATTCCAGTATTACGTTTGGTGACTTGTGGAGGTAATCAGAGCAAAAAGCCACTTTTAGTTTTTTTCTCCATTTCATACTATTCCATGCCTTCACAATAAATAAATTTCTTAGGGTGGAGGGGCTTGTTTGGTGCTACTTCAGAGGCTACTTTCAACTCTGGGGGTCACTCAGTGGTGCTTGGGACACCAGTAGAGTACCAGGGATCAAACCTAGGCCTCTTGCATGCAAATCTTGTGCTTAGTCTCCGGCCCACAAATTTACTTTCCATGTTTGACAATACCCTTTCTAACTGAACAAACAGTTTTCAGTGTATAGTCATTTTAGTTCAATATCCAAGTTTAGATAGCAAGCAGCTGTTTTTTAGGTCCTGCGATAACAGTTGACTAAAGGTGCATATTTTGTAGTTGACATCTCGTAGTGTCACCAAAGTACAAACCCTCTAAAGAAAATCTTAACAGCAGAAAAGCACTTGTGGTTAGAATGATTTAGTGTTCAGGTGCATTAATTGTAGAGAAAGATAGGGCTTTGGCCATTTAAAACTGAAAGTGTGGGCTGGAGTATAGGATATTTGTCTTACATAGGGCATCCCATCTTGAGCCTGCCAAGAGTTATCTTTGAGCACAGAGCCAAGAGTATGCCCCCCAAACACTTGTGGGTGTAGTCCCAAAAAATTAAAGTCATAATTGCTGTTACTCAATTCATAGCTTTCAGAGATAGATCAGTTTAAAGGAGGATTTTTGAAATAGCGCCGGAATGATAGTATAGCAGATAGGGTGCCTGCGTTGCATGTGGTCGACCTGGGTTCAATTCTTGCCTACCTGTGTGTTCCCCTGAGACCCACCAGAAGTAAACCCTGAGCACTGCATGTGATCAAGAACAAAGAATTTTCACACTAAACCTTTAAAAAGAACAAGGACCAAAGGCCTGTTAATTAAAAACAAATGGAGAGATTGGCCAGCAGCTAGGGCCTACCTGGTTCAATCACCAGCACGCCACATGATCTACAAAGCCCCGCCAGGAATGATCCTTAAGTACTACTAGATGTGGCCCAAAAGCAAGAAATGAATAAATTTAAGTGAATGTTACAAGTATTTTATACTGAGGACTTAACAGAAGTTTGTTTTGGGACTTGTAAGAAAACAAAGGAATTGACAGAGTGATGATGCTCATTGTTTGGTTTGGCTGTCTCAAGCAAATACAGATCATCCCCCTCCCCCATTTATGTTGTTGCACTACATGTGTTTTAAATGGAAATGTAAAGCAAAGTATTGAGTTCTAGTTCAGAAAGTCTTACCTTTATTGGAAAAGTATGGTTATTTCTGTGGTTTTCAACTTAAATTGGCCCACAGATTTAAGTAATTTGGATGAATATCCAGGCATGGGTACATTTAAGTTTCCCTGGAGAGTCAAGAACTGTCCTTTATTGGGGCTGGAGCCGATAACACAGCAGGTAGGGCTTTTGCCTTGCACACGGCTGATCCGGGTTCGATTCCCATCATCCATATCGTCTCCTGAGTGCAGAGCCAGGAGTAACCCAAAAAGCAAAAAATGAAAAAAAAAACCACTGTCCTTTATTAAACAAATTAGAGTTTGTGGTGATCATGGGTTTTGGTAAATTATTAAATGTTTCATCTGAGCAGAGCAGTCAGAGAGAAAGCTGGTTGGGCACTTGCACATGGCCAGCCCAAATTCAGTCCCCATTGTGGTCCCCTGAGCACCTTTAGGTGTGGCCAGAAAAAAAGGACAATATGATGCTTTCAGTGGTGACTTTTACCTGTTTTGTATCAGTAGTCTGTTGCTTTCCACCTAAATGTGTTGCTGGAATGAGGTGAATTGTTTCCATCAGCCATTAGCTAGAACTTTTTTCATTAACATTTTAATCTTTTTGGCAGTGGGAATAGATCAGAGGGCTGGAGAGCAGTTTTATATACACAAGCCATTAGTTCAGTTCCCATTACTGCATGTTGGTACTATTACCTTACAGCACAGCTGGGCTGGCCATTTACTGAGCCAAGCACTGAAATGGTTAGCCAGGTATCGCAGGGAATAGAGATCCCCCTCCCCGCCAATTCCCTTGACTCCTGAGCAGTGTTTTGGATGTCTCCTGTCGGCAAAAGAAAAATTTAATATTCCTAATAGGTTGTTTGACAGTTTAAGCTTTTTGAGAGTAGATGGGAGGGACCACACGCACTGGTGCTTGGGGGACCTTGCTGTGCTGGGGATCAAACCTGGGCCCTCTGCAGTGCAGAGCATAACTTGTCCCCGTGAGCTTTCCCTCTGGCCCCATTTTAAGCTTTTAGTTTTGTAACTAAGGTTTCTGTCCTTGATAGTTGTACATTTATAGCTAGTACATATTTTGTTATTAATAGTATATTATTTGGAGCATGCCTGACCTTCATACTTGTTTCAAAAATAGTTTGTCTTACGTACTAGGATTGTATTTTTTTTTATTATGTATATATTGATAGTACAGGTACTGCTGTCTGATCAAATGAAATGTTAAAACAGCACTGCTGGCTTACAGTCAGTGCTATCCAGTAAATAGAAGACTGTTCATTTATCAGCAGATGCATTTATCATTAACCAGTTTGAGGGAAGGAAAATGTGAATTATGGTATTCAGTGCAAATTGGTTTAAGAGTTAAATATAAAAATCTCAATCACCAATTGTTAAGAGAAAGTAGACTGGGATGCAAAAGATAGCTCAAAGTGAAATGCCTGCCTGGCAGACCATACGACTCTGTAGTCACCAATATGTAGCCCTTGGACTCCCTGAGCATGAGCAGTAAGGATTTCACCATGGGGTCAGTTCAGAAGTTGACCCCCAGTTCCTTGAATAAATCCAAGATAAATGGATTGGACAACAAAAGCATGATTATGTCTCAGCATCCTCGGACCAAAATTCCTCCCAAGAGAAAGGAGGTAATTGTAGTTCATAATTGTTTGGGGGTTTGGATTTGGGACCACACCCTTCTACCCCTGACCCTGTGCTCAGATCACTCCTGGCAGGGGTTAAAGGGTCCTATGTAGAACTAAAGACTAAACTCAAGTCAGCTGCTAGTGAGGCAAAAACGTACCTTCCCTGTTATACTATCTCTGCAGCCCCCATAGCTCATAATGGAATTCCGGGAAAGGGGCCTTTTTTTTTTTACTATTATTACTCCTGACTACAGGTGAGCTGTTCCTTTTTCTCTGTGTCCAGTTATAAGGAAAGAATAGCCCACTTGGAACTGCTGTAGATATTGTTAGTCATCCGGTCTGTTGGTGAAACTCATTGACGGTATAATGGCCACCCTTGAGCACCACTGGAGTCACCATGATAGGCTGTCACCTGAGGGTCTGAGCAACACCTCATCCTTGGGCCTACTAGTCTGATTGGCCAAGTACTACTGGGATTGGCCCCAAAGTCCCCTGATCACCACTTGGAAAACTTCCCTGCTCCTCCTCCCCAGATGGATCTGAGTGGTTGTGTTGCATGGGCAGTATACGGTTCACTCCTGGTTTATCTGTAGTATATAGGGTACCAGGCATCGGTCTGGTGCCAGTGGCATACTAGGCAAGTGCCTCTGCACTATCTCTCTAGCCCAACAATTCTTTCTTAGTGCACTGGTACTCTGCAGACACTAGTGTTCAGTGCCCGAAGTTGGAAGTTCAAAACCAGGGAAGTGCTCAAAAAGGTTGAATCCTGCTTTGCATAGCCAGCTGGGTGTGACCCTCAAATCCTTGACTCCTCCCTCCACACACACACACACACACACACACACACACAACAATGCTCAGAGGACTGAATATCTTGAATGTGGAGAATGTGTTCAACTCAAGCACTGCAATGACACAACCACCCCCTCAATCCTTCCCCCCCTCCCCAACACACAAGCACACCCGAGTCCTCCAGCACTGCAGGTACCAATCTCTGAGTTGTCAGGCCCAAATGGCACAGTGGTTCCTTGAACCTCTGGGTGCCATTCTGATGCTCCCCCTCAAAAACAATTTTTTAGACCCACTATATATAGCTATAGAGGTAGCACAGCAGGTAGTAGTCTTGCCTTGCATGTGACTGACTTGGATTCAATCCTCAGCACTGCATATGGTCTCCCTAGCACTGCCAGCTGTGGATCCTGGGGGAGAAAAAGTTCTAGAGAATACAGGGACTGAGGTGCTTGCATGCCACTTGCCATTGTCCAAATCTTCAGCATTACATATGGTTCTGAGTGTGGCCCGTCTTCATTCATACCCAACCCTCCCCAAAAAAGTGTAAGCATGTCTCAGGAAAAAGGTTGTAAGATACAGTGAAATAAACCAGATTAACTGAAAGTAATACTCTTGCTGTTGGACCTTACTCCCCTTGACAAGGTAAGCCCTGTAACCATCAGCATTGAAGGACTGAAGTGTGTGTTAAATTTGACAGGTTTGTTCTCTAGAATCCCCATACTAAGAAGCATAATAGTTGTTTTTTTTTCTCCTTCAACCTGTATTGAGCACATATTAGTCATACCAGCCACTAGCAATAGAGGGCAATAGTTATCTTTGGTCCAAACCATTATTTTAATCTTTCCTATCATATGTAACTAAAAGACTACAAGAGTATTCTATTCCCCTGTGGCAAACTTGGGGAGGACTAAAACCTC